GGCCCAGAGCCATGCGGAACAGGAAAAGCAATCTTGTTTTTCAAGGACTCCCCAGAGATGTCACAATTCGGGTATGATGTCAAAACTGCTTCAAGGGTAATGAACTCTGGCCTTGCTGATGAGTCAACAGAGGGTGCATTTCCGAGAGCAGCCTGCTGTTTATACACAATCACCGCGTCCAACAACACGAAGCCGGAAGCCTAGTCAAGGGTCACTGTGGCTGAGGTAGAGCTCAGCCCCTCACACACAGCCTGTCGGACCTCCTACAGACACCGCCAGTGCTCACCCTACACCCCAGGGTGCTCACCCTTTCAAAGCACCTATGAGACATATACCTTCTGGGAGGGACTCATCCCACCCAGAACCACCAAGAGCCCACCGTGAAACACACAAGCAAACTGAACCCCTATGCCCAGCGAGCAGGAGACAATGCTCCTGACACCACCCGGCAGCCCACTCCACCCGGCCCATCTAGCCCAGCCACAGCCCTTCACGGGCAGCCAAGCACAGGACCATACAACAGCACTAGAGTGCAATGCCCTGTCCCAGCTGGGAGAGTCCTTCTGGTGACTCAGCCTCCCACAGTCTCCACCCATTTCCTCACCTGAGAAATGGGAACCACTTCCCGCCACAGGGCTGACAAGCGGGAGATGAGATGAAGTAACATGCACACCTCAGGCCAGTGCTGGCAGGTGGGGCATGATCCACAAGTGTTAATTATCATCATCTTTAGGCTTTCTCAGAGGAGGGGGCACAGTACAGTCACAGCCAGCAAGTTCAGGAATTCAGCTATTCACGTCACTGACACTGGCTGGAGCGTGCAACACTGGCATTGAACTAGGAATGGAGACCATGGTGGGACTCCCTTTCATAGCTGTGTCTGGTGGCTCACGCTCCCTCCCAAATCGAGAGGCAGCCTGGGCCTGTGAGGATAACTAAGTGACCTCAGGCAGACCTCAGACACTGCCCGCAGAGCCTCAACTGCCCTCAATGCACAGTAGAAACAATAAGCTAGCCTTCCTGCCAAGGGTGTCGACACATGCCCACACAAAGGGCTTACAGAGGGCCTGGTCCACAGCCAGGAGGGGCAGTTGGCTATTACTGGCTAAGGCCAAGTGAGGTGCCCCCCCCAGGAAGGGGAGACAAGCCCACCTCCCAGGGCTTTGCAGTGGGAAGAGAAGAAAGGCTAAATTAAGGCTCCTCCTGCCACTGGTGCCGGACTGACATCCACGCAGCCGCCCCCTTAGCAGCAGGCAAGCAGCCCCTAGTGCAGCTCCAGAGCAGTCATGGAGTATTCGCTGCAGGCCTCCTCTCCCCACACATCCCTCCCCGACAGAGCCCTGCAGCGGCCTCCACACCTGGACCCAGCCTCACCTCTGCCCAAACACCCTCCCGGGCCCCTGTGTCTCAAGGCCTGTGCATGCGCCCTGCCTGGAACCCTTCCCCTTCCTGTCGTCTGGGACCCTTCACCTGGCAGATATGGGCTCTGGCACTTCCTAGAAGCGCCCTTTCACACAGTCCCATTTTATCTCCTTCCTGATACTGACCACTGACAAGTCCTTTGTGCTGATTTCTGTGCCGTCGTGTTCATTATCTGTTTCCTACCTCTAGAACGTCAACTTGTGACACTAAAGGCCTATGTTGGTCACCTGTGAATGTCCAGTACATGAACAAGGGCCCTGCACAGACCAGGCGCTCAATCAGTTTGGGCAGATGCAGGAGCCCCGGCTCCCTGTCTCCGCAAGTTCTACTCCAGTCTCCAGGAGGGGACCAGCTCTGGGTCCAGGCACCAAGTGCTGAGAGCATGGGAAGAGTCAGGGATGAGCTGAGGGCTGCACATGTGCCAAAAGGACCCCCAGGGCCCTGAGAGTAGAAGGATTCAGGGCTCAGAGAGGGCTGAGCACTAGGACCCTCAAATCCTGACAGAAGGATCCAGAATTCAGAGAAGGTCTGGCACTGGGACCCTCAAATTCTGACAGGAGCAAAATCCGGAATTCAGAGAGCATCAGGTACTGGGATCCTGGTAGCTGTGAGAAGAAGGATCTGGACTGGGTAGGGTCAGGCACCGGCCCAAGGTCCCGCACAGGCAGAGCCAGATTCAAACCTAGACAGGCTCCAATCCTCAGGCTTTTTGGGCCTCCTCCCGGGGCCCTCAACTTTTCCTGAACAATAACATGTTCCTCTCCACGGAGGAACTTATAATTCAAGAGAAGAAAAGGTCACCCAGCAACACTGCCCACCAAACCCAACGATGAAACACCCAGGTAGCTGAGGCAGGTGCCCCAGGGAAGGTCACTTCCTCAGAGTGGTGAGGGCCACTTCTCCGAGCTGGTGCGTGACGCGATCTTGGAAGGATAGGCTATGTCTACACTTCCTCTCTCATCTCTCCCAGAAGTAGCCCATCACAGGGAGACCCATGGGTGCAGCTGCCTCAGGACTCACTTGAGTTTTCACATTCAAGGAGAAACTGCATGAAGTTCGAGTCTGGACAGTGGCAGCTGCACATACTACTATGTCCTTACTTTCCACTACATTCTAGGCTGGCCACCAGGTCTGCACAAAGGCAGCTCAGACTTCAGACCCCTCTGGAGGGAGAAACCTTGGGGGACTTCTACTGGGAGCTCTCCGACAGCTAATATTACACGCTCTCTGAAGCTGCAGAGAAAGTTTCACAGGAAGTTCCTCTCCAGTCCCCTGCCACATCTGAATTTGTAAAAGCCCTTTAGCAATTAAAAAGTAAAAATAAAAACCCCCTCCACAAGCTGCCATTGGCAAACCATAACCACAGTGCTAAAGAATAGAAAACTCTCAGCGTTACTGACAGAGCTGTACGTATGAGTTTTCTTAACCAATACACTTCTCTGCTCACACAAAGGAGTTCTTCAAGTCACTTTTCCCATGCCCACCACCCAAAAGCACCCAGAGTACCCAAGCTGCCCTGATCTTAGCTCAGTCCACTACACTGCCCAACAGGGAAGACTAAATATGAAAACTGCCAAGTAACTTAAATTACCAGTCAGTTTCTGAGAAAAATGCAAGTTTGGGTTACCCCGAAAATTTAGCCCAGCCAGCCAAGTGGCCTAGAACGGCTTGGAGTAGTTCTTCAAGGGAGCCCCTCCTGGCTGAACACCACTGACGCACACAGCTGGGCTCCGCAGGGGATGAGCTTGGGTCTGCATTATACCTTCACCCTTACATGAGGAAAATCCAGCTTAGTTAGGGGATGTAACCAACACCCTAAATTAAAAATAGCAGTGTGACAGCATGAGGTGGACACACAGGCAGGCCTTCTGGACGACTGGATCAAGCGAGGGCAGCATGGCAGGGAAGATGGGGCTCCTAACGCCCAGTGACCAGGTACCAAGCTCACCTTATTTACATGACTCATGAGCACTCCCTCAGCTGTCTCTAGGAAAGCCTACCTTCCTGCAGGACAAGTCAGGATTGCTCAGGGCTGGAATTCCACAAGGAAGGGAGGCTCCACCTCCTGGCCCTACCTCCTCCACCTCTTCACCTGCAGGGGTGCCTTAGCCGCACCTAGGGGAATCCTTTCGAGAAGGTGAGACCTCCATCTTCCAAAAAAGATGAAGTCCCTGTTCTATGAAGGGGAAACTGAGACACCAGAACAGGAAGGAAATTGCCCCAAAAAGTGGGGAGAAGCACGGAAAGGGTGGGCACCGGGAAAGTAGTGGGAACAAAACAGGGGAAGAAATTCCCGGCTTAGCTAATGGTGCTGAACAAGTCCAGGGCAGGAAGAAAGCCACATTCCTTCCTAGTTAGTCTCTCTCCTCACCCGCCCACAGCGCCCCCCCACCCCCAATATACACAAACATGCGCGCACACACACACACATGCAGGGAGCCGGGCCTCCCCAAGCCTGACACCAGACCCCTCCCCACTTTCTGATTATAAAGCCCCCACTTTCCAGGCAAGGAGAAAAAGGGCCCCCAAGCCACCTCCTCTCAAGACCTGACCAGTGGGCACCTGCAACTTCTGTCCCAACACAGAGGATGCCATGATACAAACTGAAATGGGAAGGAGTAGGTTTCTGACCACGGCCCCAGATGTGCCCCAAAGCCAGGCCTGAAAGAAAATGCACAGCAGCCTTCCCCCGCACCCCAGACCAGGTGTCAGAACTGAAACACCTCAATTTCCCCCAGATGGGCCCAAACCGGCCCCGGAGAAGTCTGAGAGTCAGTGGCCAGGTATGGTGGCCAGAGCTCCCTCCCAGGTACCCACCACCAGCTCCCAGCCTGAGAAAGGCAGCATGCCAGCCACCTCCACATGCAGAGCTTCTTCCCCTAAAAACACTCCCACTCTCCAAAGGTGTCCAGTGGGAAAAGCTGTCAGTTTCCGCCCCAAACACCCCTTCCCAAGATCTGAAACTGCGCTCAACTCACGGGGCCTCACTGGGGAGCGTCAAAGACGGCCCTCAAGTGCAGACACAGCCTTCCCACACAAACAGAACAGGACCCCACAGGTGCCCCGACAGCGGTGCCCCACTGACCCACCCTGCCAGGAACCTAGACGCAAAAGCTGCTCCCCGGAGGAACAGTCACCTCACTGGCCACTTTGCCAGGGACTCAGACGGAGAAGCCCCAAGCCCCACACCTCTGGTGCCCGGATAGCGCTGCCACCCCCCGCCCCCGGCCAGGTGCACGTATCAGTTCCTGCCCCGGTGGCGGGTGAGCCGGGAAAGGCCCCGGACGCCTCCAGGTGACGACCCAGGCGCCCACCGGACCAGGCGCGCGAGTTCGGGCCCCGCGGCCGCCCCGGGCCGCCCGCCAGTGTCGCCTCTCCGCACCGAGAAGGAACGGGGTTCCGAGCGCCTCGAGCCAGACAGGTGCCCACCCGCGACGACGCGCCGGCCCAGGGACCGGCGAGCAGCACCGTGGACGCCAGACCCCGAGCCCTCAGGCCAGGACGCCGCGGCGAGGGGCGCGCGAGGCCGGCCTGCGCCCCGACGTCCCCGACGGCCGCACCGGGCCCGCGCCGCTCACCTGGCTGGCGCGGTAGCTCTCGAAGGCCCTCAGAGCACTGTCGGTGAGCTTCACGTGGAACACGGACACCTTGCTGCCGTCGCTCACTCGCCCGCACGACAGCCCGTAGCTCCGACCCTCCTTCAGCGCCGCCATCTTGCGACCATCGCTCCCCAGCCCCCGCTTCCCGGCTCCGGCGCCGGCGCGCCGGCCCCGCCCCGCCCCGCCCCCCCGCCCGCTGACGCGTTGCATTATTCATGAGCGCAGCTGGCCACGCCCTCTCCGGACCCGCCTAGCCTTCAGTCGCTGCCGCCAGGCCCGCCGACGTGCTGCATTACTCATGAGAAGGCCTGCATATTCTCCATAAAGCGTGGATGGCCCCGCCTCTCAAGGCCCTAGAGGTGGGCACTTCCGTGCCCGAACTCCGCCCCGACACGCGCCCCGCTCCGGGCCCCGCCTCAATATGTATTATTCAGGACCCTGACTCAGGCAGGCGCCTCGGAGCCCCGCCCCCACCGGCCGCTGACGTGATGCATTATTTATGAGGTCTCTCCAAGTCTTCCGTCTTTGGCATCTGTTGAGAGCCGCAGCGAGGGCGTGGAGGGGGCGGGGCCGGCCGGAAACACGTGTGGGGGCGGGGCCAGGGGCTGGCCGGGCGGTGGGCGTGACTATGCAAACCGAGCGCGCGTTGGACTCTGGGTTGGGCTGGTGGGACTTCCCTGGTGACCGGATGGGATTCCCCACCAGGATTGTTGAGAGATTAGGGGGCCCAGTAAACTTTGCTCACGATAAGAGAAGACTTTTAATAGAATAAATCCTACATCCCGACAGGCCCTGTCCAGCTCCCCCATTTTTAAAAAAACTTTTTTTTTTAGATTGGCACCTGAGCTAACAACTGTTGCCAATCTTTTTTTTTTCTTTTTCTTCCCAAATCCCCCCAGTACATAGTTGTATATTTTAGTTCTGGGTCCTTCTAGTTGTGGCATGTGGGACGCTGCCCCAGCGTGGCCTGACCAGCGGTGCCATGTCCACGCCCAGGATCCGAACCAGCAAAATCCTGGGCCTCGGAAGCGGAGCGCGTGAACTTAACCCCTCCGCCCCGGCGCCAGCCCCTAAAAAAACATTTTACAAATCATAAAATTAACCTATTTAAAGTGTACAATTCAGAGGCATTTAGCACATTCACGATGTCGTCCAAGCACCACCTCTATCTACTTCCAGAATATTTTCATCACCCCTAAAGGAAACCCCGTTACCCATTAAGGGGTCACTCCCCATCCTCCTCCCCAGCACCTGGCAACCACTAACCTAACTTTCTGTGTCTATGGATTTGCTTCTTCTGGACATTTCATATCACAGTCATACAATATGTGACCTTTTGTGACTGGCTTCTGTGACAATGAATAAAGAAACCCTCATTTAAATGGGAGTGGGGGGGATGGGCTGGCCCCGTGGCCGAGAGGTTAAGTTCCCGCTCTCGCGCTCTGCTGCAGGGGGTCCAGTGTCTCCTTGGTTCGAATCCCGGGTGTGGACATGGCACTACTCATCAAACCACGCTGAGGCGGCGTCCCACGTGCCACAACTAGAAGGACCCACAACGAAGAATATACAACTATGTACCAGGGGGGCTTTGGGGAGAAAAAGGAAAAAAATAAAATCTTTAAAATAAATAAATAAATAAAATAAAATAAAATAAAATAGGAAGCCCTGAAGGGGGAGCTCTCACACACCACTCCTTGCCCTCTGCAGATGGACCTTTCTTCCCCAAAAGCAGCAGCTTACTTTAAGGAAGGTTTTCTCCTCAACCAGCAACAGCCCAGCCAATGAGAAACCACCACACTCAGCCAATGAGAAGTTCAAATTCTCACTCTCTTCTGATGGAGGTTTCCTTCAAAACAGCCCTTCCCAACTCCCCTCTTTTTCACTATAAAAGAATGCTCTTCTCCTTTGTTCTCCTGACTTGCCCCTAGCTCACCATGGTTTATATGTCCTGACTTGCAATTCCTTCCCTATTCCAGAATAAACTCACTTGTTGCTAAAATAACTGGCTTATTTTTAAAGGTCAACACTTGTTTCACTCAGCTGATGTTTTCAAGGTTCATCATCTATGTTATAGCATGTATCAGAGCTTCATTCTTTTTTATGACTGAATAATATTCCATTGTGTGCATGGACCACGTTTTATCCATTCATCCATCGATGGACATTTGGGTTCTTTCCAGTTTTTCACTATTATGAACAGTGCTGCTGTGAACATTCACATACAAGTCTTTGTGTGGACAATGTTTTCCTTCTTTTGGGTCTATACCTAGGAATGAAATTGCTAGGCCACATGGTAACTCTATGTTTTACCTTTTGAGGAAGTGCCAGACCATTTTTCCACAGGAACTGCGCCATTTTATCAATCTCTCATTTTATAGGTGGGGAAACTGAGGCTGAAGACCAGTGCTAGCTTGCCCAGACAAACTCCTCCTGGGCTCCCAGGTCTCCTACCCTGCAGAAAGCTCTTGAGTTGTTTTCTTTCTCGCTTTATCCTAATTACAGACGGTGGTCACAGGATGAAGATTTTGAGGTGAGAGAGGAAGGTGAAGTTCGGTGACCTCCTTATGCCTCTACCCAGGTGATCTTGTTAGCTCTGCCCACTGCTGCCAGGTTGGCACTGCCAGCCATTCACCCCTTGACCATGAACTGCTGACCCCACAGGGACTGCTAGATTCCTTGCAAACTCTTCCGGTACCTGTCATTAATATCTCCATTTACAAATGGAGAAACTTGGCTTACAGGGGTGAGGCAGCACGTGGGGGCAGTCACCCTGCCAGTAAGTGGGCTAGCGGGAACTTGAACTTGGATCTTTCTGACCCAGAGCCCTCCTGATTAGCCTTCACCCTACCTCTGGTACCTAGGTCCCTTTCTCTATAGTTCCTCATTGAACACCCCTCGCACAGGGCCTAGTACGGAGTAGGTGCTCAGCAAATATGTGTTGAATGAATAAATGATCTCATTTAATCTTCACAACACAGCTATCAGCCCATTTCTGTTTGTGTTTTTTTTGAGGAAGATTAGCCCTGAGCTAACATCTGCTGCCAATCCTCCTCGTTTTGCTGAGGAAGACTGGCCCTGAGCTAACATCCATGCCCATCTTCCTCCACTTTATATGTGGGACGCCTACCACAGCATGGCTTGCCAAGTGGTGCCATGTCCACACCCAGGATCCAAACCGGTGAACCCTGGGCTGCCAAAGCGGAATGTGTGCACTTAACCGCTGTGCCACTGGGCCAGCCCCATATCAGCCCATTTCATGGATGAGGACAACGAGGCCCAGAGAGACAACAAGGTCTCATGTGCTGCTGCAGAGATCCCAACGCCAGCCTGTCTGAGCCCAGAGCTCCTCCACCCCTCCCCTGGGATCAGTTCACCTTACAGGGAAGATACCAGCACTTGCTCAGACACACTGACCCGTTTGCCCACTGTCTGTGCCCAGCTGTTTATTTGGGAAGCTAGGTCAGATAAACATTGGACTAGGCAGGGCTGTGCTGCCCAGAGGGGCCACAGAAGGGCAGGAAGAGGGGAGCAGGAGTGCAGGTGGTCTAGAGTAGAGGATGGTGAGGGTAGAGAGAGCCGGACTGCTGAATGAACGAGAACATGGGAGGAGCCAGCTTTAAGGGCAGACTAGCTTGCTGTGCGATGTTGGGAAAGGCACTTCCCCTCTCTGAGCCGCCGTGGATTCATGAGAAACAGATAGCAGTAACAACAGGCACCCCACATCGAGTGCTTAGAACGCACCAGGCTCGGTGCTCAGGGCATGGCATCCACAACTGCCTTTTGGGGTGGATACAGTGGTTTGGACCCATCTGCTAGATGAGGAAACTGAGACTTGGAGAAGTTAAGAGAATTAGCAAGACTGCAACCATGCACTGTGCTGCTTGGTATCAAACATTTCTCCACTTTACACTTAATGTCCCAGTGCCTCCCAACAAGACCCCAGGAACAATACTGGAGGAATCATCAGGCATTGGTGTGCTCTCCAAAAGTCTCTAAGAACTAGGTGACCCAAGAAATTGGAGACCAGTTGATCACCTTGGAGTGGCCCCTTGACACATACCCCACCTGGCAAGCTCCCTGCAGAAGCTCTGGCTCTATCATGGGAACACTAACCTGAGCCTGCCCCTTACCCCGTGCATGGCCTTGGACATGACTTGCCCTCTCTGTTCCTCCGTTTGCTCATCCATAAAATAGGGACAATAACAGCATTTACCCAAGACCCTGGCCATGGACCAATGGCAAATGGCATCATCATGGAAATCATTATTATTAATGGGTTTACGATAGTTTATCTATATCATCACTTTCTGTTAGACATTTATATTGTTTGCAGTTATGGGTTTTTAAACCACAGTGGGATGAACACCCACTATTCATTAGTCAGCTATTGCTATACACATATTAGTTAGCTACTGCTGCGTAACAAAGTACCTCACACTTAGTAGCTTCAAACAACAAACATTTATTATCTCACAGTTTCTGTGAGTCAGAAGTCTGGTATGTTTTAATTGGTCCTCTGCTCAGGGTCTCATGAGGCTGCAATCAAGGTATCGACCAGGCTGCATCTGCATCCAGAGACTCCACTGAAGAAGGATCCGTGTCCAAGCTCCTTCAGGTTGTTGGCAGAACTTACTTCCTGGCAATTGTAGGACTAAGGCCCCCCATTTCTTGCTATCAGCTGGTGGCCACTCTCAGGCCCTGATCACAAAGCCCCCTCCATCTCCCTCATGGAAATCCTCCCGCACGCTGAATCCTTCCCATAATTCGAATCTCCCTGACTTCCTCTTCTGTAACCAGTGGGGTCAGGCCCACGTGGATTACCGCCATATCCTAAGGTCAGCTGTGCCCAATAACAACAGCATCATGGGAGTAGACCCACCCCATTCCCAGTCCTAAGGTGACGCAGGATGGGAAATTCCAGGAACACCTTAGAATTTCTGCAACCCACAGCACTTAGAGCTGCATCTCTGCACATCTGTCCCACAACTTCCCACCAGAGGGGTTGCTCAGTCAGAGCGAATGGGCCTTGGGGATTTGGAAACACTGTTTTGCTGCAGAGGGCACATGAGGATCCGTAAGAGCACTCAGACTGGAGCCGGCCCCTCTGCATGGTGGGGTGGCCAGCATGCAGTCCAGGTCCCACGGCCCCATGCCTGTTCCACTGCTCCCTTAGTGGGTACCTCAGAGCCAGCAAGTC